AAAAAATCAAACAAAATAATACGTTGTCCTACCGTTGACGAATTTGTTTATGAGTATAATCCTTTTTAAATTTTTTAATAAGCTCATCTTTAACCATCGCATAACAATGATGGTCATCTTTAAACTTTTTCATATATTTTTTGATAGCATCATCCTCCTAAAAAAAAAAAAAAAATTTTTAGTAAAAACAAAAATGTTGTAACTGTTGACAAATTTTTTTCAACGTACTTCTTCATTTAATTTAATCAATTTTTTTCTCATTTTATGTCCAATGAAATTTGTAAAAAAAAAAAAAAAAAAAAAAGAATATTGTGAAATTATTTCTTGTTAGGAGGATAAATTCACTGAGATCCAAAGAGATCATGAAAGGCATGCTTTATAAATCAATTTTATATATAGTCAAAATATCTCGTTAATCAAATGGCATCTATTTTAAATGTACACTTGACACTTGTTTGTTTTTTTGATTTTTTTTTTTTTTTTAATAAAAATGTTTTTATTTAGCTAGATCCAAACATTTAATTTGGGGATAATTTTATCATGCAACTCGATTAAGATTAAACCTTTTTAAAAAATTTCTATTATACAATTTGCTTTTCCAAATATAGTACTAACAGATACATCCTATTGTAAATGTACATTGTAAATACCTTACTTATCATTTATCAATGTACAATTTCTTTATATTGCTTAAATTAAAGCCGATTCTAAATAAGGTAAAAATTGGCGATTTGTATAAACACGATGTTCATCAAAATCATTTTGTGATATAAATGAAAATTAATCCCGTAAAAAAAAAAAAAGGTATTATCAACATTTCAAATTTAGTGATGTTCATGCAGATATCAATAAAATGCACGCTTGTAGGTATAATAAAATCAGGCATTGCAGCTAATGCTCCGAAAGGGTTGGGAGCACATATTACAGCACTCTTGATGAGATTCACTACCCAGCTTTTTTTCGTAATTTTTTTCAAGGGTTAGCATTAAATTTCTTTTAAGTTTTTGGCAAAGTATTTTCATATAGAGATTAAAAATTATTTTAATGCATAATTTTTTTTTTTGTGAATAAATTGAAAATGCCAGATCTTAGGTTCTTATATTCGTATTTATAAAATAAACGAAGCCATCCTAATTCTTTCAAATGTTTAAAGAACTAATTCTAACCTACTTTTGAAAGGTATAAGTTGTGATGTGTATTGATCGGTGAAAGTAATCTTGATACTATGTAATTTTATTTACTAAACCAGGGCGGGTGATCGTTGACTCATTGTGAATAGATCTTCTTTTAGAATGTTTGTTATCCGCCATTCTTAGGGGCATATGTGGATCCTTTAATTGGGGTAAAATAATTATTTGTTGTGTTACATTAATTAGTATATCGATTTGGTGATTAATATGGATTTCAATCTATGTATGGTATGACATTGAATTTTCCCGGATTAAAGCATAAACATAATCTTCATTCTTCATTACACATAATATTCGGATTATAATATGATTTTTTCCTGCAACATGGAATATTTTAAAATGATGATCAAACATTAATTTTAAATCCTTTATTGTGCATTGTAAATAGCTTTCATCTTCCATTGACATTGACAAACATCTAAAAAAAAAAAATAAATTTTTTTTTTTTTTTTTTTTTTTTTCACACGCACAATCTTTGAATTATGATTTGTGTTCGGTAATTAATGTTTGGAAGATTATTACAAGTGTTACAAATCCACAAATCCATAGGATTATGTTTGCCTAAATAGGCTAATAAAATTATTGTATCAGAGGGATTTCAACGTGCTCATTTCGAAGGACATTATAGGACTATAATAGGACTATAATAAAAAGAGATGGGGTGATGTCAAGCATCACGTGAAGAAATAAAAAAATATGAAATCTTTGTAGTAGAAGAGAAGGTGCTGTCGTTGACATTCTAAAAGGGATTTATGTGAGTCGTTTGTGAATTATTAGGCTCATTTTTTCGATTGCAAAGGCTTATTTATACCTTTCTTCAGAATTTACTCTATCGTCTTCAACTTGATATATATATATTTTTTTTTACTAGTCTTAACGGCAAATTTTGTCATCTATCTGCGCTTCTTCAACGATTTTCTCGTCCATCTTCCTATTCTTAGAAATAATTTCAGTGAGTAATTAATAAAATTTATATAGTACAGTATATAATTTCCAAGTATTTATTTAGTTTAACTCTGAACGATGTATTTGTGTTAAAAATAATTTTTTTTCTTGATCCTGATCTGGTGCAAAAGTCACACGATTGTGCCAGATCACATGATAAAATATTCAATTCGAAAGCCAAAAAGTATTAAAAAAAAATGTTAATAGTGTAACTAAAATTTTAATAATATCCTGAGAATTCTCCCTTCGTAACACTCTCCAAATCCCAAAACCATTTTGAGGTTGCGTTACCTCTTAACGACCGCCCATAAATTTTCAGATCGGACATTTCTAGCAGGAATTCCTTAGCTAAACGCTTCGTATGCTTAGGATCATTATCCTGCTGGGGGCACCAATTATTAAGCAGCATCTCTTGATCTCAGGAAGATGATTTCGACATAGACTGTCAAGTTCTCTCATAAGCAAAAGTGATTTTTTGGGGACGACAGGAGCGTTTTTGATGGGTGGTACTCCAGTCTTTCCAACTTAGCCAGGTTATAATATATTGTGGACCTTGGTATATTTGTTCGTTGTATATTGCCAGCATTTCTAATCCACAAATGTTGAATGGATTTTGTTGTTGGTCTTCATTTCGTCGCAGGACTATAAAAACAATTAAAATTGTCTAGATGCTATCTGCTACCAGTCTGTTGATATTTTGTATTAAATTTTTGTCTTTGGCTTGAGTTATTCATTCTATTTCATTTATTTCATCTTATGCAAATAGGTTGTTCCTTGCGTCTTCATTTTTTTAACCTTGCCAAGAAAATTTAAATTTCAAAGTGCAAATAAATGCAATGTGTGTAATTCTATATCGCAACGCAGCAAAAAAAGGGTATATAGCAAACCTGTATAGTATGGCTTTGAATGTATGTATAGTATGATATTTTTCATATATGATTTGTTATGAAAAACCATACATGTATAGTTTTTAAAGTATACATACCTTACATACATTAAAAAATGAACCATACCATACATACATTCGAACCCATACTATACAGGTTTGTGTAATGCCCAAAAAAAAATTATCGAACGATTGACTTAAAGTCTTCCACTTCGACATGAAAGGTTTTGTTCTAAACAAAAAAAAATAAAGAAATAAAGGAATAAGGAAAATACTTTGCTCAAGTTCATTGAAAAAACAAATAATTAATTAATTAAATGAACCGTTTCAATATTTTTCGAAAATTGTATTTATGAAAATTAAATTTGCTAAATGTTATAAATCATTCTAAGGAAAGCAGATATTCCTTAATTATCCTACCTAACTTTTTTACGGAAGGTAGGAGTTTACATTACGGTTTGCTTTCCAATTCATATGGGTCTTTATATCTTAAAGTTGAATCGTCATTTGTTATCTTTATTATTTTCTTGTTTATTAATTATTCAGAATGTTTTATCATATTCCAATTCGTCATTTAAAGTTACCAATAGCATTTACAGGCTGTATGCGGTTGTATGTACACAGGTTTCATAAATGATAGTAGTTTAACAGTAAATTGCATTAAATCGGCAAATCCTGAAGTCATTAAACACAATTCTCAAAATGTTAATTCTTTAAAAAGAAATTTTTATTATTTTTTATACCTATTTTATTATTAAATGTAATTTTGAAAGTAAATTTAGGTTTATTAAATTTAGTATCCTTCAGCTTTGGTAACAACCTATCATGATACTTATCATTAGTCTCTATTTTATCCTGGGGCTTTGCCTGCACAGCATCTGAATCACTTTGAAAATCAGATTCAATTTCCACTTTAGAAGGGAAATAAAAAAAAATATATATAAATATAAACGAAATCGTTAACATATAATTTTTATATATAAAATCAAATAATAAATAATAGCAATAATAATTACTTTGAAAATCTTTAGAAATATGAAGTTCAATTAATCGTGAATCTAAACCTAGATAAAATAATACAAATAAGTTTGAATATCCAATTAATATGTAAATAGATTTTTAAAATTTACCTTTAGTTATTTCAAATTGCACTTCCAAAAAATTTTTTGATTTAGAAAAGTTCGGAATACGTAACGAACGACTTGTATAATATGCTTGAGGATGTAACGTCATTCCAGATGAGTATCGAGGACCAATTGTATCTGCATTAATAAATTCCTGAACATATTCTATTTGCCATTGATTTATTATATTAATTAATACTTTCGCAGAAGGTCTACTTTTTGGATTAGCATCGAGACATTGATTAACTATATCAACATAACGTTCTGGTGTTCCTTTGGCAACTCTTGGACGTAATCCTTTGATAATTTCTAATACAAGATCAATATCATGTGATTCATTTCCAAAAGGTGGCATACCGGTTGATATTTCTGTCATAATTATACCAAAACTATATATATCGCTTGCAGGAGTGTAAGGATTTTTATTTAATATTTCAGGAGCTATATAGGGAAGTACCCCACTTATATTTGAATTTGTATTATTAAATGCAGATCGTGCAAAACCCAAATCTGTGATTTTCGATTCTTCATTAAAAATAAGCACGTTTCCACTATGTAGATCTCCATGAACATAATTTAATTCGTGAATTTTCTCTAAATTTTTTGCAATGCCAAGTAAAATTTTTAGTTTCTTCTCCCACTTTAAATCCGAATAATGATTTTTAATATAGTCTTTTAGGCTACCATTCTTCGCAAATTCCAAGACTAACATAAATTCTTCCGTTACCGGATCTTTTGTTATCCCATAAAATTGTGTTAATGTATCGTGCCTTTGAAATTCGTGATGTATTTTTATCTAAACAAAAAAAAATTTGTTAACAGGTTTAATTAAGATTAATAATGTAAGCTTATATGTTTATATACCTCATTTATAAGAATTTCTGACATATTATTTGAACCTTTAATCTTTTTAAGTACAACCGTAATAGGATTAGAACGACTTTTCTTCTCATTTGAAACTTTTGGTGATCCGTCCGACCAAGTAGCAGAATAAATTCTTGCAAAACCTCCTTCATCAATTTGTTTAACATCTTTGAACCTATTAAAAGGAATCCATTCCAAATTATGGTGGTAATGTTTTGCCATATGTTGTAATTCATTTATCAATTTATCCATTTTGGGGTTTCCACTTGTCTTTCCTTCTCTTAGAAATCGACCTGGATCACATTTACCGCACCAAGCTTCTCCGGTATTTGATTTTTTACAATCAGGACATATTCCATACTGATTATTCTTCACCTTGTCATATCGATGTATGATTAGGTTTTTACATTTATTAGCGTTAGCGTTAGGAACTGGATATATAGAGAATCAAAAAAAAAAAAAAAAGTATTAAATGACCAAGTTTTAGGAAATCTAATGTATCACATGACATATTATACTTACAACACTTACAACGGTTATTATGTATATTAGTTTTGAAAGAGGTATGATAATTCATTATGAATTTTAAGTAAAAAAAAAAAAAAAAGAAATGAAAAAAAGAAAAAAAGAAAAAGAAAATTTTTTTTTTTGATTTTTGAAAAAATTAAAAACATTAATATATCTGATTTATCCTAATTTGTAATCTTCAAAGAGAGGCAGGACACCTAAAACATAAACAAATTTTAAGATTTTGTGTTCAAAATATTTTCGTTTATTTATTAGTGATATATTTATATATACAAAAACGATCCCTAGTACCTGATATGTCTGGTGCGTCTTTTTTTATATATTGAAGTAAACCAATTTATTTGATGTTTTAATGCGATAATATCTCGAAATTTCCCGATATAGTACTTTACAGTAGAAAAGGAAACAACTCTAAAAAAAAATTTTTTGAGTTAATGTTTAAATTTGGTAAATATACAGTATATACTGTAGTATAATTAAATTTATTTCTCTTGTCTAAAAATATAATAAAATCTACATTTTGGTATTGTCTTCTATTACAAAAAATCCAACTTTACTTTTTTTTTGTGGTTCTACTACAAAGCGCCCAATATTTATTTGTTTTCACGGTAAATCCTATTCTGGAATGATTTGATGTGATCACTTTGTCTTATTACCTAATTTGTCTTCATACAAATCATACAAACAAATCATTGGTGACAAAATAATCTTAAATTTTTGGGGGGAAATCGAATTAATGATCAAATGATAGGTTTATCATCGTTTATTTTTTTGTTGAATCTAAGAATCCAAATATGGTATGGGCAAATTTATTTATTTTGAAATGTGAAACAGCGCTTATTTACAATGGTATGCTGTACATTGGGATTAGTAAGTTAGGCTAATGTGTTCATTCTTTTTTTTTTTCGTAAGGTTGAGTAATTTTTTTTTCCAATTAAACAACTCGTGCCAGCACTAAAAATTTGATCCAACATTAACGCTCACTGACCGAAATTATAAGTTCGGCGCCATCAATACCTTGCTTACAAGAGCGTATTAAAAAACACTATATGTTGTATGTGACTTAGAAAAAGATTTTTTAAACGATTTACCAGGAATAAAAGGTCTTTTTATACTTCCAATATAAATAGAATATTATCATATTCAAATCAATATCCATTATTCATCAATCTTAATAATCAAATTCGTTTATAAAGTTTCTTTTCTGAAACATTTATTCAAGCATTACAATGCGTCTTCATTAGCAATTATATTTAGAATCATTTAGATATAATAGAACGTTCAGCAAATAAAAATTATGACATCTTTGCATACAAAAAATATTTATTAATTACATCATTCAAAAAAAAAAAAAAAATTTAATATACAAAGACTGAAGATTAATTTTTTTATATTAACAATATATACATTAATGAGGCCATCCACCAGCTTTTGGCTGTGCAAGCGTTTAAGAATCAAAAATATACATTTTATTTATTATCGAATGATAATGAAAGGAATACTAATTTTGAATCTGTTAAATCTAAATAAATAGATAAACATAAATAAATATTAAAATTCAATTAATATAATTAATATACGACAAATATTTTTTTAATTTACCTTCAACTTGAAGTCCCGTAAAATTTGTAATATTTCTTCGTTGTCGAGAAACACCAAAAGTACAACTTGCTAGAGGGTGTAAAGTTGTTTTTGTATCAGCACTATCAGCATTATCAGCATTATTAAATTCCTGAACAGACTCTTTACGCCATTTTTTTATTATCTTACTTAAATCTTTTGCGGAAGGTCTATTTTTTGGATTAGCATCGAGACATTTTTTAACTGTATCAACATAACAATCCGGGGTTCCTTCAGCAATTATTGGTCGCAGTCCATTAATAATTGCTAATGCAAGTGAAAAATGATTTTTCTCATAAGAAATCGTTCCAGTTGATATTTCTGTCATAATAATCCCGAAACTATAAACATCGCTTGAAGTAGTGTAAGGTTTTTTATCTATTATTTCAGGGGCCATATAGGGAAGTACTCCACTTACATTTGAATTTGATTTATCGGTTGTAGATCGTGCAAGACCCAAATCTGTAATTTTCGATCTATCATTAAAAATAAGCACATTCCCACTATGTAAATCCCCATGAACATAATTTAATTCGTGAATTTTCTCTAAATTTTTTGCAATGCCACGTAAAAATTTTAATTTCTTCTTCCACTTTAAATTCGAATGATGAATTTTAATATAGTCTTTTAGGCTACCATTTTTCGCATATTCCAAAACTAAAATAAATTCTTCCGTTACCGGATCTTTTGTTATCCCATAAAATTTTGTTAATGCATCGTGCTTTTGACATTCGTGATGTATTTTTATCTAAACAAACACAATTTTATTAACAGATTGCATTAAAGAAAATTAATGTAAGTTTGTATGTTTATTTACCTCATTAATATGAATATCTGTCATATTATTGGAATTTTTAATTTTTTTAAGCGCAACTTTAATAGGTTTAGAACGACCTTTCTTCTTGTTTGAAACTTTTGGTGATCCATCCAACCAAGTAGCAGTATAAATTATTGCAAACCCTCCTTCATCAATTTGTTTAACATCATTGAACCTATCAAAAGGAATCCACTCCAAATTATGACGGTAATCTTTTGTCTCATGCTGTAATTTACTTATCAAATCATCCATTTTGGGGTTTCCACTTGTCTTTCCTTCCTTTATAAATCGACCTGGATCACATTTACGACACCACGCATAACCGGAACCGGTATTTGGATATTTACAATGAGAACACATTCCGTATCGTTTAGGTTTCTTATCATATTGTACTAGGAAATGGTTTCGGAAACTATTGCTTAGTACGGAGCACAAAAATAACAAAAGAGACCAAGCACGTATCGACTCAAACGATGAGCGAGCGGACAGCGCGACATCTGTATCACCTTGCATAGACATATATAGTCCTTCGCTTCGCTCCGGACTAATAAAATTGAATTTTGATTGCTTTGTTTGGAACTTCATAATAAAAAAATGTAATAAGAAAATTTTCTTGAAAATATTTGTTTTCTTATAAGAACTGGTTTTATATTTATATATAGTGAAAATTTTGTTTCGAATGATTTGAATGAAAAAAAAAACGTCAATCCAATTCAAATCGATATAATACATAATTTGATCCATTGTGTTTATATGTATGGATTGGATTCCGTAAAAAAGATGATTGTCGCAGTAAGACATGTGATTATTTATATTTTTATATAATACAAAGTGCCATCGTTTTATTAAAAAGACCGTTTTTGAATGAAAAAAAATCATAAAAAATATATATTTAAGTTAATAAATATTACAAGAGACAAAGTTTCTTACTTCGGATTAGAATTTTTCAAGTTATTTGTCAAAAGCATTTTTTTTTTTTTTTTTAAAAAAAAAAAAAATAATCTCGTCTGACTTTATAAAAGAATTTTCATAATGATTGCATGGTTTATTTGATTCGACTCTAACTCTAAAAAAGGAAATTATTTGCAATGAAAGGATGCATTTTCTGCGGCTAATTGGATTGGATTTTCATACAGTATATCTTAATCCATATTCACTTACTTTGTCTTGAACAACCAAAAATGAAATTTTTGATTTATTATGTGGTAAATGAACTTTATTTGATTAAATATTTATAGTCGATCATCTTATTAACAAAGCAAAGCAATTAGGTCGTCAAGTTTTCTCATTTTTTTTCGTGTAACATCAGTAAAAAAATTAGATTATCGATATTATTATTAATAAGTTAAAAAATTTTGAATTTTGAAAGGGTCCGAAACTGTTTTAATTTTGAATTAAAATATTTAATATAAAATCTATATTAATTGTTTAAATAAGTGTTCGAATGGGGTTTAGAGGTATTTATACCTCCCCCCAGAAAAAAATTTTTTTAAAAAAAAATAATCGTGAAAATAATTAAATAATTTTTTTACAGCTGTTTTCATATTTGTGCATCCACCTTATTTTTTTAAAATTGAAAATTGCAATTTTTAGTATTGAATAGTCAAAACTTATTATTATCTTGGTAAACTGATAATAATAAGAGGATGGATCTCTGAAAATAAAAGTTTTTTAATAATATCTTTTATATGAAGATACGAGAATTAAAGTAAATTATACAACAGACATATAAATTATTTTTTGTAAAAGAAATCTTTAGTTTTACATATTCAATATATATGACTAATATACTTAGCTAAAATGAAAGAAATTGACTTCTATAAGTAATTAATACCAAAAGTTAGAAAGTAAAAAAAATAAGAGCTTGAATAACTATTATGCTCATAGAAGCTCATAAATTAAGAAAATATACACTGGCCTACAATAAATATTCAGATTTTTTGTATTTATAAAATTTATATGTAAAATTCATAATTTTATAGTACTTATAAAAAATTTTTTTATACTTCTTAATTGACAAATAAATTTTATTATATTAAAATATAAAATATAAAATATAAAATATAAAGTAATTATAATAAAAATATTATAGTGAAAAAATTTAATATTTAGTATGACCACCTTTGGCTTTAATTACTACATTAGGCATACTTAAAATTAAGAGATAACATGTTTCAATTGTGATTTTTCACACTCATCTTGTATTACTTCAATTAATTTTTGTTTAGACTTAGATATAAGCTTTCTTTTTCAAATTTTACAAATTCTTTATTAGATTAAGATCAAGGTTTTGCATAACTTAATCTAAAATTGGAATGTTATGTATACTCATTCACCAAATACTGTAAATTAAAGTATAACATAATGTTTCATCTTGCTAAAAAATAGAAAGGATAATTGTTAACCCATAGGATGAAATAATTTGCTAGAATATTAATGTATTTATCAGAATCTATGTTTTCTTCTATCTCAACCAATAGTCTAATCCTATGCTAGCCAAAACATCTCCAAAATATCACTGATCCCCTTCAAACTTTATTGTAGGTTAAATATAATTTTTATTATATGCTTATTTAGGACTTCTCTATACTTTTGCTTGATCATCTGATTAAAAAAGAGAGAACCTTGATTTATTTGATCATACTACTTATTTTTATTTCTCCATTCAATTTTTTTTTTACATTATTTCAAGTAGTTAGTTTGATAATTTTAGTTAAATAAGACTTTTTTCTTGCAATATAATTTCCAAAACCTTTATCATAAAGGTAATTTTTAATTATATTATAGTGTAAAGTTGTGTTAAGGTTAGTATTAAATTTATTTGTCACATAATCAAGAAGAAAAAATTGGTTAGTTCGTATAGTACATTTTAAATTTTAGATATTACATTCTTTAAGTATTTTAGGTCTTTCAAAATATTGTTCAGGTTTTGTAAAACCAGTTTTTTATATTTTTTATAATATCACTTATGATACTATTTAGTATATTAAATTATGTAAAAATGATTGTTTGCTTAATATCAGTAAGATATACACTAATTATTCATTTTCAGTTATCATTTAAAATTTCATTTCTAATAAGAGTTGACTGTATTGAGAACTAAAAGAGTAATAAAATATAATATTTTTGTTATCTTTTTATTTATATATGTAATAGGAGAAATTGATGATCATAATATAAGAATGTAAATTTATGTAATGAAAATTTAAATATTTATTGTAGATCAGTATATTACCTTAAATATAATTTTATTTGAAAATTTTATAATTTTATATAAAATTACTTTTAATATTTGTAATTAGTTTTTTAAAGATTATTTACTAGTCTGGTTAAAAATGATCCCTATAATTATTTCAAATTTCAATTGAATTATAATTTAATTGTACTATAAGAAAATTTAATTGTGTCACAAGTTGCAACTTAATTGTATTATTTTTTTTTAATTGTGATAATCATCTTTAAGTCTGATATAATGTCAAGCTATTAAAGTATCAGTATAATAAAATATCAAAATATCAGTCTGATTTAATTATTCTTTTTTATAAATACAAACTAAAAATTTTTAAATAATATAACATTCTGTATTCACTTTTATTATACATATATTTTAAAATTCTTTCTTTAATTTCTTTATAATTTTTATTTTAACTTTTTAGATTTCATATTTGTTACTTTATTGTTTTTTTAATTTTTTATTATTTTATTATTCATTTTTTATAATTGTTTGTAACTGTATTATTTTAAGATTTATTGATTAATATTTACTTAGTTTAATATATTAATATTATAAAAGTATAGAATACTGATATTAAAATAATCTTGATTAATTTAATATTATTAAATAAATACTTATCACAATTACTATTATTAATTTAATATATTATTTAAAATTATAATATTTTATTATTGATTAAAAATATTTATTATAATATAATATTATTTGATTATTATTACTCTTAATTTTCTTATTTTATAGATAATTTTAAAAACTCAAATTATATAATTCTTTTAATTATATATTTATTTTTTAGGTTAAATTATTTTTGTAATTAATATATTTTTATAACATTTAGAATATAATAAAATAATAATAAAATAATTTAATTATCAAATAATTTTTATATTTTATTAATAATAATAATCATTTATTAAAAATAATTTTATAATATAAATAAATTAAAAAAATAATAAAAAAAAAAATAGATATAATTTTATTAATAATAAAAAATAAATAATAATTTTAACTTTATTTTTTATTATAATTTTATATATTATAACTGATTATATTTAATTTTAAAAAAATAAATCATAAAGAATAATATATTATTAATTTAAAAATATTAATATTTAAGAAAAAATTATATTTAACTTATTAAAATAAAAAATTTATTTTTAATATTTTTATTATAAAATACTTATATTATGAAATATTATTAATTTTCAAATAAAAATAAAATTAGTTAAAATAAATTAAATAAAATAAAAAAAATTATTATAAATCTTTATATTTTAATTCTATTAATTCTATTTACTTTTATAATTTATTTTTTTAAATAAATTTAATTATATTGTTTATTATTTAACTAATAATTTATTATATTTTTTAATATTAATTTAAAATCTTAAAATAAGTCTAAATAAATATTATTAAAAATTTCTTTTAATATTTTATGAATTTGATTTATTATATTAATTAAATAATAAAAAAACTAATTTTTATAGAATTTTCTTGCAATGTTTTTATTTTTGTATTTTAATATTTTTATTTATATATAATATAAATTTTTATAAGATTAAATAATATTAATTATAATATTTTTAATATTGTTTACTAAAATATTATATAAATTTTAAATATAATTTATACATTTAAAATTAATTTTTGATAACTAAAAAAAATATATATATATAAGAAAATTTTAATAATTTATATATAAAATTATAATAAAAGTAGTTTTTTAATTATTTTGAAATCTATAATTACTTTCTATACTATTAATTTATAATTTACTTAAGAAAATCAGATATTATATTATTAATAATAAAAAATTAAACACTTTTTTTATTTATAAATTTTATTATTTTTATTTTAACAAATTTTGATTATAATCCAAATAAAAACTAAATTCAAAAAATCTAACACTAAAAAATTTTTTTAAATTTAAAGAAATATTAGCAAATTTAGTGATATTTTTAAAAAATAAATTAAAAAATCACAAAAAAAATTACTTAAATTATCATCTACTTTCTATAAAGAGTATTATTGTATTAAATTTTTTTATATTTAATACAATTTTATAATAATCTTTTAAGAATTTTATAAACAAAAAAAAATAATAGACAGATAAAAAAATATTATA